GAGAATATTGAAAATGCTCTCAAACTTGAGTCCAGACCAGCGCTTAACACATACTGGCCTTTAGAGCCGTGAAAGCGTATTCTAGTCGGCGATTTCGTATGACCTTCGCGTTGATATAGAATACGTCCGGTGCTATCGGACTCATCGAAACACCATATCTTTAAAACAAATACAATTAATTTCACTTCAAATCTATAACTAAACCAAACCTTTAATGAATTATCGGAAGAATTGGTAACGAGAAGTGGTTCTCTTTCAATGAAAGTGGTGCCGACAACTGGTCCGCTGTGGATATGTCTCATCTGAGACTCAAGTCTTTTGTCTTCTAAGTTCCAAACGGCTAAATGACCCGTTGCTGAAGAGGACACCATATATGGCTTACCATCGCTGCGAAAACTCATGCTCTGAACTGAACCCCAATCCTGTCTGAACTTCATAAGCGTTTCATCAATTCTTAGATTATGTATATAAATGGATCCGTTCTCCAGACCAATGGCTACTATATCAATGGCTGGCGCCTGAGATAATTGGGTCACTCGACTCTTCCAACCAACAAATGTATGGATCAGTGTTTGTGTTCTTAGATTCCATAACTGAAGCGATCCCTGAGAGGAACCGATCAGTACTTTATTGATATAAGTGGACGGATGTATGATTGATGTCATTCTGAATGAGTCCCCATTGAATGGTAACGTTTGTGTCAACTCTTGGCTACGGATTTCCCAAACCCGGAGTACATTCTCGGCGTCGATACCAATCAAATGCGGACCAAATGGCAAAATATGTTCAACTCTTTGAAGACATCCCACAAATGATTTACATTTCTATTATAATTGGTATTGAAATGCAATTAATAAGTGTTAATAAATATAAACGTCGGCTTTCAGTACCCATTTGTGGCCATATTTCCAGCCGAAGATCTCGTTGTCAGCCGAAGTGTAGACATACTTGGAATCACTGGTTATGACATTGATGTCGGAGGAATGGGCCACACCTAACAAATTGTAGACAATATTATGATAATTAAATACATTAATTAAAATCAAGCAATAAATGTATTACAAGTTTCAATGAGTTTGAGTTTATTATTGAAGACCAGAAAAGTATTGTTGGAAACCGTAATGACTTTGATTTGAGACAATTTGTCGATATATCGCACGATATGTGGGATATGTGTCGACACCAGACCCACACTCTTCACGCCCTCAAAGATACGGCTCGATGTGTCCATCAATGCGGCCACAGATGTGTCCAACGGATCAATCAATTCAACGACACTATCACTCAATTCACTGTCGATTTAAAAAACACATGTCTTTCTGTTTACCATTCATTCAATACAACCAATCCATGCGGTTCTCCAACACAGCAAATACAACACTATTTGTCCATAAAGTACTACATTTTTAACGGAGTTGTGAAGATGTAAAGGGTTTGCGCTATCAATGTATAACAGTTTGTAAGTTTAAGGGTATTATTGATTAACGTTTATTATGAATGAACATTCAATATTTTATTTATTAAGATTCTGCTGTATATTCATGACTTACGTCAATATTTTTATAGCAATTGAAAAGTTTTTTTTAATGAAGAGAATAAAAGAAACATAATTTAATTGAAACAAATTCTTTGTGCATATATTATAGATATGAAGATAATTATGAGACCACAGATTGAATGAGTTGACAGTATTTGCATTACTAGACGTTTGTTTGAGTGCATATGTAGTCAACACTTGAGTTAATCTTATTTTTGGACTCTTTTCTCAATTCAAGTCATAAATGTTGAACGAATTGAAAGAATATTCTGTGTTTGAGTCCAACTTTTTCTGTTCTCAAGTTATATGAAATTTTCATACAAATACTTGAGACCAATTGCTGGCATGCATTTTGCATTCAAATCAAGCCATTCAATAGATTTGAAATACCAATTCTTCGTTAAATAGTCTGTAATCTTAGCTATTGTTAAGTACCCAATGATCACTAGATCACAAGTACTGTTTTGATGCCTACCCCAAGGGTCGCCGGTAGTGACAATAATTAGTGGTTTCTGGCAAATCATTTGAATGAGATTAACGCAAGACATGGTATTAAATTATTACAAATTATAATTGCCAATACTTTATATCGCCAATAATAGGATTATTATTTATATTATATAAATTATATACATTAATTAGTAATTCATAAAAATACAATTGATTTAAACAGTTCATACTACGATTTTGTAATTATTTTAACTGTAACAAACATACATAGATCGATTGATTTTTATGCAGCTTATAAAAATTTAATCTGAATTTATAAATTTATGATCACAGATAAATTAGGAATTATGATATTTTGCCGTTAGAGTTAATTCTGTTTTTTAATATTTATTATTTTAATTATAATTGTAATAAATAGTTGTAGAATACAATGTATTCGCTTCATTATAGTCTATAATATTATTGCAGAATAGTTAAAAGAATATACATTATAGATAATTATCAGTGTATCTATATCTTCGTGTTTTAAAGTCTTAATATTTTGCATTAGTTTATGATTAATAGTAAAATATTTTAAGTAAAAAGTAGTTTTGAGACATAAATTGTTTAATCAAAGATTAATGATATAAGTATGAGATTCTTATAAACATTAATTAATGCTTTGCTAACGCTTTATGTGTTTTACTATATTTACTAATGAAGAATAACTTGAAAAATGTAACAATTATTCATAAGATTTGCAACAAATCTTTATTTATGTCAAGGATTTTCACGTATAATATATTATTATAAGCGATTGTTTGCAAATATCTTCATTTGAATGCTAGAAATTTGTATATATTTAGTGCTATCACATAAAACTACATTCAGTTAGGATTACATTAAATAGATTGGTAAATTTAAATTCTACAATAAATGCAATTATTAGTTGGAAAATATTTACATTAAATTGCTTTCACGTTCTATAATCTAATTTAGAAATACAACATACCTTTCGATCGTCTTTTAAATTTTTAGATATTATAGCAATAAATAGGAAAATAATATTTATAAAGTTAAATTAATAAAATATAATGTGTATTTGAGTATATCAACAAAGTTTTATTGATATTTATTGAATATCCCAATAATTTTTTTTGATAATTTTTTAAATTTAAATCATGTTTAAAAATAAAAATCGGAAATCCTTGTGTTTAGTTATTATTAATAACTTATTAACTTATTAACTAGATTATTTTGTGACCATATCTTTGTAAAAACGTACGAATGATTTAATTTTAATTAAGATGCAGTCATCAATATTTAGACAATATCATATAAAAGTAGTTAAAAATATTACTTTTATTTAACTAATTATACAAACTGTGAATAAATCAGAAATTTGAATCGAGAAATGCAAACAGAGTTCCGATGGAATGGTTTAATAATAGCAGTAAAAGAAACGAATGGTCACAACATGAATGATGAATGGACTCAATATTAATACTCATCAAATGTATTACAACTCCATTTAATCCCATTTCCTGTTCAATCATTTAATTGAGTTATTAATACAAAATATTTGCAAACAATTTGAATGAATGTAATAAAGTTATAAAGTTGTCATTTACATCATTGGAAAGTCCGAATATATAAGTTAATATTGAATTCAATTTATGTTATTAAATATAGTATATATTTCTGTTCAATTCAAATAACATTTTTAGAATGCATTCCAACAAAATATAAATAGTATCTCAAATACAATAATAGTGTAATACTATTACATTGGACTAAACAATAGCGTTGCCACAAAATATTTAGTATATCCTGTATAATTGTGTACATTTTGCCAAAATTCCTATATTTTCCTGTATTTCATTTATCTCAATTAAAACTCTAAATTTGTACAATTTTAAAAGAATTATACGTTTGTAAAAATTCGAGTGCTTATACAATGTCTTTATAATTGAGTTAATTAAGTTTAAATTCATTTGATTTCTACCATTAGTTTAGATTGTGGATGAACAGTGGGTGTACAGGACTAATATTATTTACAAATCTGAATATTTTAATACTTTTATAGTTTATTGATAAAATATTTATTCTTGTATTTTTTAATGTACAGGAATAACACCTTCCTGTACTCTGAAATATTTCTTGATTCCTGTATAATACAGGTCATTCCTGTATATCTGGCAACGCTACTAAACAACCGATGAATGCGAGTAACAAAATAATTTAGATATTAAGCAAATTATAAAATAAGCATCATTGTATTTTATGTGAACCAATATTTGACATAATACAGACTATTGCATAAAAATTGAGAATAATAGGAGCTATTTATAATTTAATTGTAGCGCTATTATTAGACGTATTTTACTGATTAATACATCAAATTAAAGATCAGAAAATACGGTTTTGAATGGTATATCACATGATATATTTCAAAATTTGGAAACAAGTTTTTGGTGCCAAACAACGGTTATCAAACTAAATGTAGATATATTTGCTGGTAAAGGTCTGTAATTTGCTCCGTATAAAATTAATTTTAATTTGATACAGGTTTTAATAACATATTCTTATGTAAAATTTAACGCTAAAAACAACTATAGCATTTAAAAAATTCTAGCTCAAATACTTTTAGAAATATATGGCCACAAAACCACCAGAAAAACAAATATTTTGCTTATGTTTGAACTTCCCTATGCTATTATAAGCTTATATACACTGACCCAGTGTATTCAAAACAAGCGCCCACCGTGTTTAACACTTAATTGTGGCCAACTGGGGCAAAATTAAATATTGGTTATATTTTTATCTTATAGTATATGTTTAGTGTAATTAATCATTTAAATTTCACAATAAAATATCTAGTCGTTTTAAAGATATGATTTTTTTTCAATTCTCAATTTTAATGCAAAAATCTGTATAAAGAGACAAATCAGAGTATTATATCGCATACACTGTATAATACATCGCAAAATCAAAGTAATTAGACGACAAACACCAAAACTTTAAGTTAATTGAATTACACATATAGTATATAATTATAACAATGCAATTAAATAAACACAAATTAATAGCATTAAACTTATTAATGGTAATATATTGACAACACTGTTGACACACTAAATAATGATTTGCATAATTTTAAAACCAATAATAGACAACTACCTGTATAGCAAACCTTACCATATTTATAATTTTCAGATTAGACATTGTGAATTAATATTTTACGATAAAATAATTGCTCAATCAATAATTATATACGAACTATATGTCTATAATATGAACCAAAGTTTTAATTGTTGCAAACAATTCATATCAAATACATTTGTTATAAAACTTTTTATTTATTATTGCAAATCCATTACAATAGTTGAGCAGAAATTCTTTGTTCAATAAATAATGTAAACTAAACTTTATATTAATGTATTTTAAAATTAATGTGTATATTAATATTAATTTCTGTACTTTTATTTGTTAAATAAAATTAAAAATAAAAGTCAACCTTATTTTAAATAAATATCGGTATAATAATAGAAAATGCTTATAATATTTGTAAATATAAGATACCAATTAAAAACTTCTTAATAAATACAATTTAGTTTAAATTTGAATTATATTTTTCAAATCATAAAAGTTTAAAATTTGAATTTTTTGTAATTTAAGTAGAAATTATATATTGTCTGAAAGTATTATTATGTAAATGAATGTTAATATAAATATTAATGAATGCATTGCTAATGCTTTCATTAGATTTATATATCATACGACTCATAAATTTTATAATTTTTAATATAATATATATTATTAACAGAATATTATAGAAAAATATCACATTATATGGCAATTAATTGCCTTTTGTAATAATGATCGTAAAATATATAGATATAATTACTATGTAGAAAAGTGTTTGAAAATTACAATATTTAAATAATTTGTGAATAAAGTTTTTCAATTTTATTCATTCATTTCAAATATCGATCCATAGATTCTGTTGGATATGTTATACGGGAGTCGATAGCGCACGGAATGTAGGCTTACGTGTGGTGTCCTATAAATACAACGATTGAGACATAAATATTCTGTGAATAATATATTGAGAGAAATATATTTTATTCCGTTTTCTCTCTTATTCTTTAACACCAATTCTTACTCAAAGATGACTTAGACTTACATTACGACTGTTTGTTAGGCTATAATTTATCACAGGCTCTAAAGTTTCACAAGTAGTTTGTGGTAAAGTGTTGTAACAATAATCCAAACGCTTCTGTAGACGAACCAAAAAATGAGAATAAATGCAATCGATATAAATCATTAAAAAAGACTACGAAATTCGCAGTCCTTGTCTTACATCGTGTCTAATATTGATTATATCGATGTTATTACATGTCTTGTCATTCAATCTATTTATAGTATTGCTATTAAATGCGTTTTTCTTGTTATCGTAATTATTAATAATTCCAGGTATGGATCCGTTAGAGTAGACCAGACCATCATTGTTGCCCATTTCAGACCAATCCATACTAAGACACTGAACGGTAGAACTGTGTCCATACTCTGCAATACAATATACATTGTTTATAACAAACAATACAAATAGTACTTTAGATTTCAAATTTTGATACAGAATCCAAATAATAAATAATAATTTATTTAATTATATAAAATGTAAAATTATAAATAATTTCATTGTTGAGAATGTATGCAAAATGTATATTAAGTTCAAATAAGTCATCAATTATTTGTATTGAAATTATTGACTAAAAAAGTAAAATAATGTCAAAAACTTTTATAAAAAGCATTGAATTAATGAATTTCTTTATAAAGTATAAATAAATTTCTTAAATGGTTTAGTTTAACAACAAAATGAATTGCATGTCGTCTTTAAAGTCTTAATTCAAGTGTCAGTCAAAAACATAAATCATTTTAAATAATAGCCCAGAAATTCTTTATTAACTCTTTTGTGTTCACTCTAACAATTGATAGCCGAAAAGGTTTATGAATAAAATTCAAATATAAAATAAAAATGCATCAAATGTTGATTTGAAATAAATTATTTGTTCACAAAATAATCAATGAATGGCGAGATTTCAAATCTAATTAAATATGGCAAAAATTAATTACCCGTAAATTCAATACTTGGAGGTATAATATCAGGACTTTTGGTGTCACAAAATTCGTGTGAATTCTTGTCTTTAATAGAATGACTGTTATGTTTGGATCTATTATTTGATTTATTTTTGGGCAAATTCTTTCGTTGGTCTCTTTGATTGGCATTTCTTCGATTGATTTTACAAATCAATACAATTATAACCGTAACTAATATACTGGCGGTTAAGAGTGCGGCTAAAGCACCAAATAGTGGATTCAAGTCCGTAAGAAAGGGCGCCGACTCTTCTTTGGCTGTTATGGATGCAGAAAATGCATTAATAGTGAACTTTAAGAAAAATGTGTCCGTTGGGAAATATTGGGAAACATGTCAAAAAAGTTTGACTTTTATTTTTGCTTACTTACCATCACTGGATAATGAAGATAAAGTCAATGTATTGCTGGTTATTGTCTTTGCGACACTTTTGCCCTTAGAGTTGGCCGCGTATACACTTAAATAAAATATATGGCCCGACTCCAGGCCCTGCACTGCGAATATGGGCTTCAATTGATTGGTCAACTCAATCAGTAATCTCTTGCGTTCCGAATCGTCAAAGATATCCAAATGGAAGGTCTGATTCAGTCCTCCGTCGTCTCCAGCCATACATTCCACCAGAAATGAAGCGTCAGTTTTGTTACTCACTCCACATTCATGCAGTCCCTCAGGTGGACCTAAATCAACATCAATACACATTTTTAAATATACACATTATTCAATATTCTCTCTCTCTCTCTCTCTCTCTCTCTCTCTCTCTTTATAGACATTAATGGTTACTTTGATACTGAATTAAAAAACAATTATAATTCTGATTTGGTTAATAATATTGGAAAATATTCAAGCATTTGTTATAATGATAATAGGGTTGTATTGAATGCAAAGAATAGTGAGTGAATAGTGTCTGGTGTGTGGATAATAGATGACAAGAATAGGTTTGATGGTTAGAGAATAGTTAGGGAAGGCATAGAAGGCATACAAACCCTGGGCTATTAAAGTGAAAAGACAGGGTTGTCTTTGTTGTCCGACGGCATTCTTGGCGCTGCACTCAATGGTTCCCAAATCGTCTTTATTGTGCACTTTGTATGACAAACGACTGGTTAGGCCTTGATTTGAATGCTGGATATGATTGTTGAGTAGAAATCGGTTGACAGTCCAGTCGAAAGTGACAGAAGCAGGTGATGCCTCCACCACACACTCCAATTCAATTGTCTCTCCGATCGCAACCCCTATACTATTGTTGGACTTTTCTCTACAAATTGGCGAAACTAACGACAAAAACATTGCATTAGAATTGAGAGAAAGAAATTTCACGAAAGAAATATATTGACAGAGAATAGAAGAAATTAAAATAGGAATCAAAGTGAGAGAAAGTGGACTCCAATACAATGCCGTATATAATATATATAATATGATCAGTTATAATATATACGTTTCTATGATCTCAATCCTTATGTTTCCTTCTCTTATATTATATAATATACAAGACATAAATCATCACAACATGTGTAGTATGTGTTCAGAGCACTGCTCTATAATGAAACTTACAGTGGATGTCGAGCCGTAACTCATTACTGTCTGTCTTTCCCTCCAAATTAGAGGCATAGCATCGATACAGTCCTTGATCTTCACGTCTAGCACTTCGTATTTCAAGACTTGCATTCCTTATCAATACATCTATGCATCAAATACACCAAAAACAAATCAATTACACATTTCATAACTTATTCCGTATAACCCATTCTACTGTACCTTATTGTATAAAATAATGAACTAAATTATGGTATCAACTATTCTTACAATAGAATTTTAGTATTTTAGTACTTGTTAGTATTTTAAAATAAAATGTTCCTGATTAAATTTGAATTGATATTTTATTATCAATAAAACTATAATTTACAATAACACCAATAAAAATATGTAAATTGAATAATTTTAGTCTTATTTTCAAATTAATTGCAAATTCTGCGTTAATAACGGATTAGGTGTTAATTTACATAAATAATGGGTTGCATTAGCTTTTAGTTTATTACCAAACAATAGTTTTCATTCAATTTAACTGTTCATTGATTTCGCATCAATTCTGCTGAAGGGGTAAAAGTGTTCACTCTATCGAGTGATCTATTTGTTAGTCAATCGATTGCAATAAGCAATTTGTAATCGCTTTAAATGTTATACTCATTGGTTTGGGTGACTATCGATCGCATACCTCTTTCAACGTCTTGTTTGAGAGGCTGTCCATTGAGAAGCCATTTGACCTCAACTACACTGGGATTAGCAGTGATGTGACATTCCATGAATAGCTGACTGCCGACCGCTACCAGTCCTTTGCCTGAACTCGTCCTCAATGTTAAGTTCACTTTCGGTTGGACTGAAGACACATCAAAACCAAACATCCATTCATTTTTGTGCCCAAAATACACATTTAATTGAAACAAACATTTCATAAGAGAAGGCAAAAAGAAAGAAGAAAATACTTAATGAAAATAATTGTTGTTATGATTGGAGAACATATGAGAATTGCTTACAGAATATATTGAGAACCCATTGGTCTTCAATAGTACTGTTGGCTAAACGAAGATTCTCTGCGCGACAGTTGAGATACGATCCGTGATCTTCAGCGCTGGGAACCAATTCCAGAACACTTGTCGTCACGTTTCCATCGTCTGAAAAGGTCTCTCTGATTGATAACAACCAATGAAAGCACACATTCAGTACAATGAGAATAAAATGCAACGTTTGCTCAAAAAATAACTAAAGCGAGAGAAAAGTTTGATTATAATTATTGTTGACAACAGTGTATATAAATACACAACTGAATGGCTAACCATATTATCTCTCATCTATCAAACCTGTCTTATTGTTGTCTAAAAAAGTAAATGCAATTTATTCCCAACTATTGTATAATATTTCTCTATTCATTGTAGACTGTGTTTTAATAAACACTATTTTGTTATAAACAGTAGATAACAAATTTGTTATAAAAACACAACCTTTTGGCATAATATTGAAAATTTAATTTACTTTTCATCATTACACGAGTAAAGCCTGATTAAAAACACTTACAACGGATTACTGTCATTAGCTATCCTTATAATTTAAATGAGAACTTAATAATCTTTTTCAGATGAGGCACTTACAGTAAATTGATACATCATTTAATTAACATACAACTAATAATTAAAACAACACAATCTATTGATCAAATATTTTCAATTAAAATTACATACACTTTACATTGCAATGACATGTAATCAAAGATTTAAAAATGTAATAACATTTGAATGAATCAATTAATTATCGAAAGTGTTTCATAAAGTAAGTATTAAATAATGAATAGTTATTTCGCAAACCTAGTCTTTGAGAGCAATCTATTGTCCTTAAGCCATGTGAGTTGTGCGGGAGGTCTTGAGCCAAAAGATCGACAAATTAAATCAAATTTGCGTCCAGAAGACAGCGGTCTTCTTATAGAAATTATCTTCACGTCAGACGGCTTTACTGTTAATAAGATTTTTGGTCAATATATACACAGTATGTATACTTATATTTGTTTTATATATTTGTTATATAAAACAAAAATGTCATTATTTAATAGACGTAACAATTTATTAGTTTTTGGCTATAAATTTGACTTATATTTTGGCATTTAGTCAAACATATAAACAAATACTTCCACAATAACACCAAAGACATATCTTATAAACTAATACAAAGCCATGATTTTCCATATTTCAGCCACATTTCTATCTGTATATCTCTTATATGTCAAATTAAAAATAATAAATATAGTTTATGTTACTTAGATAATAATTTAGACAATATTTAATTATTGTATAATAAAATGTGATCTGAATTAAAATATTTCCGTATTGTTTGAATAATATTAAAATTACCATTGTCACCTAAAGCATATCTGTTATTTTATACTAAATTATTTTGTTTTATTACTACCACTATAATACAGTAATTTCTAAAAACATTAAAATTTAATAAATAGAACATGATAAATACTATGGTTGATTTCTATGTATACTTTAATATTTAATATTTGGTTTATTAATTTAAGCAAACTTTTAAAATTAACTTTATTTAAAAATAGTTTTCCAATTTTAGTTTTGGGTAAAATAAGGAGCAAAATATGATATATTTATTGTTATAGCATCTCATGGGATGAATGAAACAAACCCTTGGCTACTGTTTTACGTATAAGAAACTAATGTGTGTTTTGTAGATAAGAAATGGCATACAATAGTGATAGTAATGTTAAGGTATGGAGAGAAAGGGAATAGTAGTGGAAGTGTTACCATAAATATCAAACGTGACAAATGTTGAAATAGACGTCTGACTGGAGTTGTTATTAATTGCATTACAGCTATAAATTGAGTTCAAATCATTTCGACGAATATTCTCTATGAGAAGTTCATTCCTAACAACAGAGTCGTCAATACTAGTGGTCGACACATCTATCAACACATTATCGCGATACCAGTGCACACTTGGATCAGGCTTTCCTATACAACCAATACACAAACAAACCATATATTAAATCATTTCTAATTTAAGACATCATTTCATATCATATAATGTTTCATATAATAAATGAAGAGTTAGTTTTTAAGAGTAATGATATTAAACAGTCAATAAGTCATTATTCTCGGCGGTAATACCAATAAAGACAATGTCATATATAATCCATACCCCCTTCCACTATACAGCTTAGCCGGACATCAGATCCCTCTTCAACCGGTCCAATGAGTCCAGATATCTGTTGATTCTTACTATCAATTATGTATACTTTTTTCGGAGGCACTGAAACAGACAAATTCACGCCTTTATTATTTATCTACTATTTTATTATATTAAACATAAAAAGTTGTTACAGTATTCTGTATATCAAGAAATGTTCAACCAATATATTATAAATACAACACATTATTCTGATTTATTATACAATCACGTGATTGATTATTAATTATATTATAATGCATTCCAAAAAGTGATTCGAAACTAACACTAAACATTTTTAATTATTTATAGTATTAATATACTTTACAGTATAGTAAATAAAAAATAGTGAAATGATTGTAACAAAGTATGAAATATAAATACTAATACCAATGACATGAAGGTTGATGACTGATGTAAGAGTGCGACCCCAGCGGAAGTCCACTCGACACCGGTATTCGGCGCCATCGGTCTCGAGGATGGGATCCAATGAGAGAACGGCCGGTCGGACGGATAGGTTAAAGAAGGCGCGATCGGCCAACACTTCGTGTGTCAAGTGTTTAGCTTTTTCGCGGTTGTGGCGGATGTCGACCGTATAGATGGGTAATATCTTGACATCACTTCTATACCATAGCACTAATGTTATGGAGTCGTCCTCTGATGGCGGCGTTATATTGCACGGAAGCAGTGCTTTATCACCCATTGAGACCTGGATGTCGTTAAACAGCGTGACTGCAAATAAATGATAATATTTTCATTATTGATAGGCAACTATTTATTTTGAGAACTTTATTGAACCAAAACAATGTCATTATGTGTATGTTTTTCGATCATGTTTTTTACATGGCTTTACTCTATCTTTAAATTTATTGTAATTTTATTCAGTCCCTGAAAAACACATCAAATCAATGGTTTATTGATTTGAAATAAAATTATGCAAAATAACGACAAAATTTTCATTTTTAGGACAGAATAAAAAATTTAAGTAAATTTGAAAGATATATAAATAAAATTCGATTCAATACTTGATTTCAATTTTAGAATTAAGTTTTAAAAGTTTTGTGTATTTGTGTGGAGAGAGA